GTTTCTGCTGAGCAGACACAGACAGAGAGACATCTGCTGCATGGATTTCCAGGAGTTACCGAACTCCACTGTCTGTTTACACCTGACTACTATCCAATCCGCCTGAAGGGTAGAGGATGGATCCCCTTCCATTTTTTTGTAGCAGACCATCAGAGGTAGGCGGGTGTAAGTGGACTCAAGTCCCTTTACACCTGTCTGTCAGTAGGAAAGCATGGACTTCCAATCAGGTCTGCCTGAAAGCATCAGCTAAACAGATTTTGGCTAAAGCATGAAAATTGGCCACACCAACTGTTTTACAGGTTAGAAGTGTCATGGTATTTATTGAATGAAAATCTGTTAGAAATGCTCCATGACTCTATGCATACAGTCAGGTCCATAAATATTGGGACATCGACACAATTCTAACATTTTTGGCTCTATACACCACCACAATGGATTTGAAATGAAATGAACAAGACTGTCAGCTTTAATTTGAGGGTATTTACATCCAAATCAGGTGAACGGTGTAGGAATTACAACAGTTTGCATATGTGCCTCCCACTTGTTAAGGGACCAAAAGTAATGGGACAATTGGCTTCTCAGCTATTCCATGGCCAAGTGTGTGTTATTCCCTCATTATCCCAATTACAATGAGCAGATAAAAGGTCCAGAGTTCATTTCAAGTGTGCTGTTTGCATTTGGAATGTGTTGCTGTCAACTCTCAAGATGAGATCCAAAGAGCTGTCACTATCAGTGAAGCAAGCCATCATTAGGCTGAAAAAAAACAAAACAAACCCATCAGAGAGATAGTAAAAACATTAGCCGTGGCCAAAACAACTGTTTGGAACATTCTTAAAAAGAAGGAACGCACCGGTGAGCTCAGCAACACCAAAAGACCCGGAAGACCACAGAAAACAACTGTGGTGGATGATTGAAGAATTCTTTCCTTGGTGAAGAAAACACCCTTCACAACAGTTGGCCAGATCAAGAACACTCTCCAGGAGGTAGGTGTATGTGTGTCAAAGTCAACAATCAAGAGAAGACTTCACCAGAGTGAATACAGAGGGTTCACCACAAGATGTAAACCATTGGTGAGCCTCAAAAACAGGAAGGCCAGATTAGAGTTTGCCAAACGACATCTAAAAACGCCTTCACAGTTCTGGAACAACATCCTATGGACAGATGAGACCAAGATCAACTTGTACCAGAGTGATGGGAAGAGAAGAGTATGGAGAAGGAAAGGAACTGCTCATGATCCTAAGCATACCACCTCATCAGTGAAGCATGGTGGTGGTAGTGTCATGGCGTGCGTGGGCATGTATGGCTGCCAATGGAACTGGTTCTCTTGTATTTATTGATGATGTGACTGCTGACAAAAGCAGCAGGATGAATTCTGAAGTGTTTTGGGCAATATTATCTGCTCATATTCAGCCAAATGCTTCAGAACTCATTGGACGCCGCTCAACAGTGCAGATGGACAATGACCCAAAGCATACTGCAAAAGCAACCAAAGAGTTTTTTAAGGGAAAGAAGTGGAATGTTATGCAATGGCCAAATCAATCACCTGATCTGAATCCGATTGAGCATGCATTTCACTTGCTGAAGACAAAACTGAAGGGAAAATGCCCCAAGAACAAGCAGGAACTGAAGACAGTTGCAGTAGAGGCCTGGCAGAGCATCACCAGGGATGAAACCCAACGTCTGGTGATGTCTATGCGTTCCAGACTTCAGGCTGTAATTGACTGCAAAGGATTTGCAACCAAGTATTAAAAAGTGAAAGTTTGATTTATAATTATTATTCTGTCCCATTACTTTTGGTCCCTTAAAAAGTGGGAGGCACATATGCAAACTGTTGTAATTCCTACACCGTTCACTTGATTTGGATGTAAATACCCTCAAATTAAAGCTGACAGTCTTCAGTTAAAGCATATCTTGTTTGTTTAATTTCAAATCCATTGTGGTGGTGTATAGAGCCAAGAATGTTAGAATTGTGTCGATGTCCCAATATTTATGGACCTGACTGTATGTTTCACAAAACATGGACTCCCTGGATCATTCACTACATGTCCCCAGCTGTTGATAGGATGCTGATGGCTGCTTAGCCAGACAGATATAGGCGGTAGTGGGTTCAGACCTGCCCCAGGTATCCCCAGTCCACCTTCCCTAGCCCTGTATTCCTTTTTTGTTTTCTCCAGGCATGGGTGTTTAATACCAACCATAAATTATGAGCACTATAATATAATCACTCAATACAAGGAAGGAATACACAACTGGATTTGTCTTTTTCACTCTTTGCTTTGTAATTGTTTATTGTCTAGGCTGAGACTGTATATTGCATGTTTTATGTAACCACTGATATCCTTTTGAAACTGAATTAAAATCTACTGAAAACGAAAAGCAGTACAGTGCTGCTAATTATGACAAGGTGTTCGAGATGCAGAACAAATTCTGCATTTTTGGGGTCTTCATATTTATGGTGATTAGGGCTGTTGTCTTGGAGCACTGGGGATCTATGTTCAGGATCCAGTAGATTCTGTGTATACATGCCATTTGTGTTTCATCTTAATGCTCCAATGCCCCGCCACCCAAAACAAAAAAGCACAGCAGCAGCTTTCATGATGATCGCAAGGTAAACAGTTATTACACAGATAAAATATATATAAGGGAGCTCTGCTAGCCAAAGGATATGTATTTTTGTGTATCCTTTCCTGAGAGGTTCACAGCTCCATCACACAACACAGCTGGGTGAACTACTCCACTTATGGCTGGTGATTGCAGTTCTTTCCACCTGCAGCTTTCTGACTGGACAGTGAGGCTAGGTTCACATATGTGCGGGTGGTGCCGCTGCGGATCCGCGCGAAAATTCGCGCAGCCGCACCACCCGCACAGAGGAATGCGGACCCGTGGGCGGGTGCCATTAGTTCTAATGGCACGCCGCCCGCAACGGAAAATGCAACCGTACTGGGAACCGAGGTTCCCGTGCCGGCTGCGTTTTCAGAAGTGCAGGGACTTCTTTCCTGCATTTCATGGGGCGCGGAAGTCCGTTCAAATGAATGGGCTCTCGTGCCCTCTCCAAACACGGCCTGCACAACTGCATATTTGTGAACCGGGGGTGAAAGAGCAGCAGCAGGTAATCCCTCTACCTACTCCATCCTCTCCTTCTGTCAATATGTTTCTTTTTAACATGTATCACATCTAAATGGGTCCCTGTCCTCCTATTTTTCCCAGTGTCAGCACTACTGTACAGAGGAGGTAGCATTTAAAATGAATTTAATAATTTTTTTTTTTTATTTTAATTAAAACAGAGCTGATTTCATTTGTGTCTTTCAAATCTACATGGAAATCAGCTTTCAATGACTGTATTCAAGTTTCCTAGTTCCTAGAGGCTGTTCCTGTGTGGTTAGGGTAGCAGTATTATTTTGTATAGTCTTTCAGGGCAAGACTGTTGTGAGTGAGCTATGTATACCGTACGGTGCTGCAGATTGTTGCCCCTCTGTGGATTAATAAAAGAATTGCATCTCTTTTAATATATTATAGCTTCATACAAAGTGGTGGTTTTTGTTTTGTTTTGATTTTTTCTTTTCATTCGGTTTTGGAGGAATTCATCCTCAGCCATGACATGCTGTCACTGCTGGAGCTTGCACATCTGTACAGAAAGGCTACAGAGAGGCTGAAGGAGACCAGCAGAATAGAGGTGTAAAAAGGATAAAGAAAGTGAAAACAATATTCTTTAGTCGTCATGCACACTGGACATTTTTACAGCTGTTGTTTTTGGCTTTTGGCTTTTTTTTCTACAGCCAGTAAACTCCCCAGCATGTTATCCTATGTGTCCATGCACACATAGACTTTAATCATTGTTTTTTTGGCTGGGGCGTTCTTTGGCTGGGGAAAAAAAAAACAGAACTAGTGGGTTTCTAGAGTTTTTGAAATTCTTGAGCCATTAATGCCCCTGTTGGCACGAACCAGCATGACAAAAGTTGATTGTTCAATCTACTTTTGTCAAAGGAGCCAGGTGGAAAATTGCCAGCCAAACAGCACCTGCATTCAATCATATGCAGCTGCTGTTCAGATATTTTGACAGCCACCGGCATCAGCTGTCAGAATACGATAGCCAGCAAGGGAAGTTCGCCCATCCACTCTGTTTAGCGTGGATGGAGGAATCTGTCAGCTTTCTTTTTTTCACTTAATTTGTGTTGGTAAAATAAACATACTACTAGTACGCTTTGGGTTTTGGTGTAAGGTATAGTCAATGTAAATGAACATTATACCAACATAATAAAAAAGCTTTATCATAACAGACTCTCGCCGGTGTAGTTGACCAGGAGCCATGGAAGCAGGCAATTGAAACTGTTAGCTTTCTTTCATTCAGCCTGCAGATACAATGATTTCAGAGGGCAGTTGTCAGAGGACTGGGATGCAATATGTCATCTCCCTTCCACCCGCACCATTACATGCTCATTCACTTGAATTGTACTGCCTGCTGAACAGAACATGAGGCATCATGTTTGCCATGACATGTGTACCACCCCGTCCAGCTGCCATTGTAGCTTAAAGTGTTATTAAACCCAGGATCCTGCATTCACCATATCTGGTCTCCCACAGTACAAAAAAGATAGAAATGCAATTATTTTAGTAAATATAAACTGCTTAATACCTTTTCTCATCAGCAGTTAGAGCAGTCTTGTGACTTCTATCAGTGTCCAGCAGAGCACTGGTTAAAGCTTGTAGGAGGAGTTTTAATTCTCCTATGACTGCCATGCATAACCCCTGATCCTCTGCCTGGACAGTGCTGATTGGCCCTGTGCTGATCACATGCACCTTCTCAAAGAAAAAAAAACTCTCTAGTAATGCACACTAAACTGAACATGTGCAGAGTGACTCCTAGAGCTTTGTACAATCAGCAGATGGATTGTGACTAGTAGAAGAAGGGGAGGATCAGAGAAGACAGGATCAAACTGCCTTTTTTACACAATGCAAAGGATTAACCCCTTAGGTTCCATGCAGGGGCAGACTGACAACTCATGGGGCCCCCGGGCAATAGGGGATCATGGGGCCCCTGTGTCCTTGCCCAAACTCAAAAAAGCCTATGAAAAAGGTACCAGGGGCATCTCATGGGGCCCCCTACTGACCCCGGGCCCTCGGGCAGTGCCCGAGTTTCCAAATGGTCAGTCCGCCCCTGGTTCTATGGTGAGTATAACAAGCATGCTTTACTGCATATACAGACTGATTTTTACTGTTGTGGGTTTAGTAACACTTTAAGGTAGTCTGTTGGGGAAGGTAAAACCACGGCTCAGTCAGCTATTTTTACTTCCTTCCCCCTGGCTGCAAATGTGAAAGTCATGATGATCACTGCTGGCCATATTAAAATAATATCCGGAATTTTCCATTATGAAAACTAGAAAGGAAGCACTTTTCAGCCAAGACCCTTCTTCCACTTATCAGATGGACCATTTGGCCATAGATGACTCCAATTTTGGACAATTCCTGTTAAAATGAGATTGCCTGCTACTGCATAATACATTGTGCACCATTGATCAGTGCCTTATGAAATGTATCCCTAAATTTTCAGAGCAGAAGGATTTCACCTATCACTCACTAAACAGTAATATAACTTCTCTAGTGTTGGTTTTCACCTGCATTGGATTGTTGTTTATTTCCGTGACACAGTCAGTAGAACGGAGAAAACAGAATGGCACAGTTATGTAAGCACTTCACAGAAGTTCACCTAAAAATAGGGCAGTTCTTTATTTTTTTTATTTTTTTGAAAGGTATCACTTTACACACAACTGGCAATAAAAATTAGCAAAACAGTCCCCCTGTGCCTATCAACACAAAACAGCCTGCCTGTTTACGGCTAAATATTTACTGTGCTGCATTGGAGGCATTTAAAAAACAAGTTCTTCTGGTTCCCTCTGCTTTTCCGATAGTGGCAAAGGTCCTCCCCTTCTATCAATTCACACTGCTTATTCATCTGCCTCACATAAGCAGGAAAGGCTTAGATTAATGGCAGCTCTTTAAGCATGTTTTGGAAATAGTGGCTGGTATAGACCCAGACATCCCTTTTAGAAAACCATAGATCCCTCATCACACTGCTGGCTAGCGGAGAGAAGGCAATTGAGTCATCACCTGTTGTTAGAGGCTTTGATGAAGCAGAGACATCATGGGCCATACGTTTAATTACTTGACAGTTCAGCTATACGTTACATTTTTTTTTTAGTATTGTATTCTACCATTTTTTCATGGCATATGGAATTTGAAGCTTGTGAAAATAGGGGTTTTCCATAAAGAACTGCACTTATGACCTATACACAAGATAAGAAAATCATATGAAAATTTCCTTATGAGGAACAGTTGGCCGATTATCTGATCGTTGGTATAGTGCTTTCGACAGGCAATTCAGATGACAAAAAGCCAGAACATTTTTATCGTATGTGAATACAATTTTCAATTAATACGTACAGTAATCATACAGAAATGATCAAATAGAAAAACATGCATGATCAGAAGCATAGACTGACCCTACACTTCCTCTTCCACTGTGCTAGTACATAGTTACATTTCAGAAAAGAAAAAATTATTATTATTATTATACAGTATTTATAAAGCGCCAATGGTTTGCTCAGCGCTGTACATTACAAAGGGGGACAGAACATGTGACAGAACAATACCAATACAATGTAAAACATGAGGGGATCGAGGGCCCTGCTCTTTCGAGCTTACAATCTAGGAGGGAGGGGATGGTGGTACAGGAGGAGATAGCTGTCCAATCTGATACAATAACCGTATCTAAATAATATCTCCAACTCACTTAGAATAAAAGTGTGGATTATAAACCTGAATATACTGAAACACAGAAAAAATGGCAGTTGACTAGTGCAAAGCCGCCTAGAAAGTGGTTAATTGAAATCCTATGCGGAGTAATATCACTACAAAAGTGGATGCGATATTGTATTTATTCGATCACATAGATCGTGAAAAAGGTTGACATTGACAGGGTGAACATGTTGCAATCATATTAAAATCAAAGAATTAAAAAAAAAAGAACCATTCGGCGTCTTCAAAAACGGCTGTATAGGCAAAAATGATCCATATGAGGCAATAGAATTTCCTTTCTGTATTGATCTGCAGTAAAGTTCCATATTACATGGCCTGGAATCTTCCCTATACAGTCCATACCATGTAATATGGAACTTTACTGCAGATGAATACAGAAAGGAAATTCTATTGCTTCATATGGATCATTTTTACCTATACAGCCGTTTTTGAAGACGCCGAACGGTTCTTTATTTTTCGCATCCAGTTTTGTAGTTATATTACTCCGCATAGGATTTCGATTAACCACTTTCTAGGCGGCTTTGCACGCAGTTACATTTCCCTACGTTTGCCTTTGTCGGCCAAGAATTTTATTACAAGTCAATAGCATTTGGACTACATCATGATACGCACTTTTGTAGAAAATCGGACGATCGGTCATCCGGTTTTCTCAAAGTGTGTACTAGGCTTTAGATGTGATGGAAGGAGACTTAAGGTGAGCATATCCCCTGCTGAATCAAAGCAGAATGGGAGGGATGTCACTTTTGTGACATCCATGCTTGTTCAGTTTTTGTCCACATTTTGACATTGGACTGTGGTGGACTTGTGTTGGATCTGTTGGCTGCCACACATAAAAACTTGTTTCTGTATACATCAAACTACATCTGTTACAGTTAGGTCTGAAAAAATGGAAAATGAATTACTTCCCCTCCTGAGGATTTACCGCCCTTCCTGACCAGCCATTCTTTGTGTTACTTTAACTGACAATTGCGCGGTAATGCAATACTGCACCCAAATGAAATTTACGTCCTTTTTTCCCACAAATTGAGCTTTCTTTCGGTGGTATTTTTTCGTCTATGCGTTTTTTTTCTTTTTTGCGCTATATAAAAAAAAAGACCGATAATTTTGAGAAAAAACAATATTTTTGACTTTTTTGCTATTAAACATGTCCAGTGAAAAAAAATTTAAAAAATCAAATTTCATCATAAATGTATTTTGCTACATGTCTTTGCTAAAACAAAATCCCAATACGTGTAAATTAATTGATTTATGTGAAAGTTATAACATTTACAAATGGCAGTATAGATACTGGAATTTTTTTACTGCAAGGTTTAAAGTAAAAATTTCATATATTGCAGCTTACCAATGCTTAAATGTGGTCACTGCATTAGTTTTTTTCTTTTTAGTCTTTTTTTCTTTGTTTTCACTTGATGTTTCAGCCAGTAACACACTTCCTGCCCCAGGCGCAAAGAAGCAAAGGGGCAAAGAACAGATTTAGGGTGGTATACCAATTCTCTGGCATGTGCTGACAGTGGGAGAGGGGGGGCGCAATTCTGGATCCTTGCACTGGCTGTTGGACAACCCTGTCCCAGTACTGGTCAAAGCACTGTTGTGGTGTATCCAATAGCAATAGACAAGCAACACTATGGACTAAAATAAATAAATAAAGTGCAGCGCTAAAAATAAACAGAAAATTCGATCTAGAAAATTCTGATCTAGAAAATTCGATCTAAAAAGTTCGTTCTGAAAATATCAAAAGGATCGGGATAGATCGGCCGGATACAGACTCCAGGTGAAGGCTTCCCTCCTCTGGATGAAGTGGAAAACGGTGTCTGCTGACCCCTCATCCAGAGGAGGGAAGCCTTCACCTGGAGTCTGTATCCGGCCGATCTATCCCGATCCTTGGGAGGTTCTGTGAGCCCAGCTGACCATCGCATGATAACACCCCTTCCTGAGGGAGATCGATACTCTGCAGAATTGATTAAACATATGCGCATTTCCTATGCGCGGTCGGTGAGTGCGCACTTCTGCCATTTGTTCCGGATTTCTCATAATCTGTGTCATATCTACTTTATCGCTGATTCTATGAACTTTTGATATTTTCAGAACGAACTTTTTAGATCGAATTTTCTAGATCAGAATTTTCTAGATCGAATTTTCTGTTTATTTTTAGCGCTGCACTTTATTTATTTATCTTCACCTGAGGCTGTTGTAATCTCCTTTCAGTGCTTTAGCTGCTTATATATTCTTTATTGTTATACAAGAAGCGCTCGCCACATCTTTTATATTTATGTCTGTTTTAACACTATGGACTGTTACACAGAGATTTGATTCAACAGGAAACAGAGCAGCAAGCTGGAAAATGCTTTCTATGAGGCAACAGAGAAGAGCAGTGCTCCCCATGCACTATCAAACCCAGAAAACAAACCATATCATATATACACAAAAAAAGTCATAAATATAGTTAGGCTAAAAAGACACAGATCCCTGTGAGCCTGTAATTTTCCAGATGTGAAAGTTAAACCTTTTTCCTCCAGGTGCAAAGAGTGCTCCCTTGTCTTTTGGGATGACCTTTAATTGAACAACTTAGTTTACTATGTGGAACATTTTATGTATTTATTCATTCTTCTTCCTCTTAAACACCTTTGCTTATGAATTAGTTCAGTTAATCTTTCCTCATGGCCGAGGTCTTTCTTCCCCTTATTAATTGAGTTGTCCTTCTCAGCACTCATTCTAGTATCACAACTTCAGTGTTCTGCCCGTACAGTTGTATCATTGATTCACAGAGAACTGTGAATGAATGAATGAACTACAGGTTTTCTGCCACCATGGCAGACAAACTTGTACTTCTCAATGCTCTTATTTGAGTATTAATACCCTTCTCATGTTGCCCCTCTTTAGTGTCCTCTTCACTGCTGCCCCCAGACTCAAGAAGTGAGTCCAGTAGAGATGCTACAGATGTTGAGGGCTCATTAGCGGTTTGCTGCTACACCAACTCCCTTCTTAAAGCAAACGTTTCTATCCGTACCTTTGCTTTGGTGTTAAAAATTTTAGTCTTCTAAATCTTTGGTCCATAGCAGAGGAAAAAATTACAGTAATACCTCGGTTAGCGTAATTTCTGGTTTACGAATGAAAATCCATTGAAAATAATGCCTCTGTTTACAAATTTTTTTTCGCAATACAAAAGAAAGTTTCCCGCAATATGAAAGAAAGTTTTCCAAGGATGCATTGTGCCTGGGAGGTTTTGGGACTTTTTGGAACTTTTTTGGCGCATTTCTCAAGCGGTGGAAAGGTAGGGAGCTGACCTTCGTAGTTTGCATGCCTTTTACTGTGTGTTTTGCATTGTAGGTTGGTTTCCATGCCAGCTCATGTGCTGTCCATGGCTTTTACTGTTGTTTCCATGCCAGCTCATGTGCTGTGCATGCCTGTTACTGTTACTATTTTTACTTTTTTGCAATACGAAACATCCCAGAAAATGCATTAAATTCGTAAACCAAGGTATTACTGTACAGTGTGTTGGACCTGTTCAAAAAGGATCCCCTTCCGTCTGCTTAGAAGCTGGCCTGTTGTAGTGGCTTTGAAGCTCTTCAGTGCAGATTATTCGAAAAAAGCACCCTCACTATAGACTGCCTCCCTTTCTCAAGTGCAGGCACAGATGATGGAGCATTTTATTCTTGGCCACTTATGAATACAGTAGAACATTCAAATGACTTAAGAGCAGTGGAAAGTTCTTCAAGAATACTACACTGTCCTGGTTTTAATTTACTTCCAGTCTATCAGCCTGCAGCTTCTCTGGGTTCAGGTGCTAATCTTCCCTATACAGTCCATACATCACTTCCTTCTCCTACCAAGGACTACATGTCCCATGAGGCATTGCTTCTCACATATTCACATATTCTTACTGACATGTATGGACAGTGTACTGAGCTATATGTATGCTGAACTGTGTATACTGACATGTACACGAGTAATGCACTCTATATGCAGGCCAACTAAACATCTGACCCACTAGTCAATAATGAAAATTTTTATAATCGATTATGTTGATAAGTCGTTTCAGCCCTAGACATGCACATATGCTGGCAGTGGACACGTTGACAGGAGGAGAGGGTATAGTGAGCAGAGGAGTGATCACATATGTTACTGTTTCAATTTTGTTTAATCAGCAGACTGGGTGTGTTCTTAACCCGGCTGTGGTTGAGGTCAGCTGTGTATTCTGTGACTTTCCTGGGGTTCAGCTTAAATCTATAAATACATCGGCTAAATTATAGCTATACAGTATATGCTCAAGATAACACTTTTACTTGTTTTATATAATAATGTGTGCAGTTTTTAAAAACCAGGCCAAAGCTTTTCTATTATTGCATGTTTTTTCATTATTTGCTGAACAGATCTCTTCGTTATCAATAATGACTGCTCCCAGTCAACAAACTATATATCATGCGCTAAAAGTTAACCTATGTTACCAATGTCACTTGTTCTATATAAATAGTTGACTCATTAACAAAAAAGAAGTTAGAATAATTGGGTGTATACTATTGCTTATTCTTGTGCTTACTTTCACCTACAATGATATGCTTTCCACTTTAATCATCGTTTAAGAAAGTCATATTAGATTGTTCTTGTCCTAACCTTTTATAGAATATGTAGTCCTAACATTTCATGTTCCTTACCTGTGCCTGCTGTACCATGTACTTGTATGAAAAAATATTCTGTTCTCTTTTTATTGCTTCCTTTGTGTGAAATCCCTGGTGTTCCTGCCAGTTCCTCTGCTTTCCTAATAAAAACTGACCACACTAAACTTTAAGACTAGAATTTGTATGTAATATTCCCAATAGAATTAAAATGGGAAACCTTATTGGGTACTGTTTCTCTAATGCTTTTCAAGTGCACCCTTTCTGTAACCCAAAAGCGTAATTTAAACAGGTCAAGCAACACTGATGCTAACATCAAAAAGTCAACTGCTAAGCCTTCGATTCCACCGCTTTGCCGTATTGCCCCACAAGAGTTCAGCGATGCATGAAAATTCATGATGTATGAACTGTTATTGATAGCCTAACTATAAATTCTCTATTCTGTGCCAAATTCAAAATGGGTAGTGGGGACAAACTGGAGCAGAGATTGTGTTCTGGAAGAATGCCCACACGATCACTTTGTGTATACAAGTTTCAAACGGACGATGTTCCACACATCCTTACAATATAAGGTCCCTAACCAGGGGCGGACTGACAACTCTTGGGGCCCCCAGGCAATAGGGGATCATGGGGCCCCTGTGTCCTTGCCCAAACTCAAAAAAGCCTATGAAAAAGGTACCAGGGGCATCTCATGGGGCCCCCTACTGACCCCAGGCCCTCGGGCAGTGCCCAAGTTTCCAAATGGTCAGTCCGCCCCATCCCTAAATTACATTCATTCATACACATGCATGTCTTTGGAGTGTGGGAGGAAACCCACACAAACTGTGCAGGTGGTGCCATGGTTGGGATTCAAACCAACAACCCTACTGCTGATAGGTGCAAAGCGCTAACAACTTTGTGCTGCCCATAATTCTGTTCATTTTGAAACACTCCATTGAGGGTACTAATGACTGTTTCACAGTAACATACTAGCTTCAGACAGTTCTATAGCATGTGTAGGAGTTCACCATAGTCCCTCATACATCTAATACGAACAAGATTTTGACTTTTTCCCAAAATTGTGTAGGTGTTTTGGCGTATAGTGTGCTCCAATATTGATATAACTGTGACAGTATGAGTGGTTGTTCTAAGGAATCTAAGGAAATCTCTCTCGTTCATTTTGGTAGTGGGAGATTAGGGGGGATATAGCTTTGCTCAAAATAAGAATGGCACCTGCAGTAAATACAACCTTTGTCCTACTGAATTTCCGCCACCAACGTGGAATTACACAGGTGACGGAAACATACTGACTACTAGAAAGTAAACAATGTATAAAATTCCAGAGGAGTAAAATCAAAGGGATCTCTGTGCAAGGTGTGGTTAGGTATTTAGGTGAAGTAATATATGTTGGCAGTTGTTTTATTGTCATTGTGTATCAGTATAGATTGAAAACACCTGTGGCAGTTTTGAAGAGCTAATGAAGTCAGGAAAAAATCTATGTTGTTTATAGAAAATTATACAGTGGTTTCTGTCTCTAGCCCTTTTGCAATCTGTACAATGCTAGGCTTCTTGATAAATATAGCATTATAAAATAACTACTTTTTACCAACTACTGTATAATGTAACATCAGGGCCATCCTACTGGACATACCTAAATGGTCTAAGACTGGCTTTTTTATTGCAAGCATAATATTTTGTGCAGTAAACAAAATCTTGAACTTGAAACTCAACCGGACGAATTTTGATCAATGCATGTCCATGCCTGTTCGACAGAATTCAATCATTAGATTGACTTTTGTCAGATGAGCTTGTTGGAAAATTTTTCTTAGCCTGAGATTGAAGAGTCACAATTTTGTAATACAGTGAACCAATGTGGAGGATTCCTCCATCTACTCCTCGCTGGCTGATCGAAAAACACAATTACGGCCTTCGAGTACTATCTATGGACAGCTTTACTGTGTATTGACAATTTTTCATAGCTCTATCTTGCTTGCTTTCAGGCGTAATTGATGAATTTTCTTTAATGAATGGTAGAAAATTCCTGGCATCCTATAACCTGCCCAGTTACATAAAAAATATGTAAATATAGTTGTCCGCAGTGTTCTGCAATCTGAATTGTCTCCTGGCCGCCAATAATTTGCTGAGACAGCCCAGTGACACCTATGAAAATTGGTAACTTTGGCACTTAAGTCATCAGAATGTGGCTTGCTAGGACTCACTGAATGCAAACTGATATTCTCTGAAGTGGACCCTGCTAGTGACCTCATTTTGGCCAGTCCAGTATGACAAGGCAAGCCAGATAAGTAAACCCAATGCTTACTAATATGCCTTTGACTTTGAAGATCCATAATTAGTTCTCCTTCTGACCAACGTTTTTTTAAATGTAAGAACTGTCACTGAGCGTTGATTACTACAAAGGAAAATGTATTTTTTAATTTTAAGAGCTCAAATCAAAGGAAATTCCTCTTTCTTTTGATCTCTTGGTTACTAGCCTGAAGTTCTGTTTTACATCCTAATACAGAATTGTTTGTTGACTTTTTTGTATTCAGTTTAAATTGAGTATATGATTGTCATCTGTATGACTTATAAAATGTGTTGTTTCTCTATAGCATCCTTTTGTGGATTCCAGAGCAGTTCACCTTGCATTTGTATTTCTTCGTGGGCTAATTACATTAATGGGAGCAAATTGTGCCTGTGGCTATCCTTTTACAATGATGGACCTGATGCCATGGAACACATTTGATGGCAACCTGTTTCACCAGAAGTACCTGCAGTGCCATGGGCAGAAATCTTTGGAAGAGATCATAGAAAGAAATGTGAGTAATATTATCAGATTTAATATATTAAATCAATAATATAGACCAGCTTTTCTAAACCTTTTTAACACAGAGGAACCCTTAAAAGGTAAGGTAAGGTTTCAAGGAACCCCTGCTATTAATTACTGCAGTTACCGTTCATGGCACGTTACTGTGATCAATAAGCTGAGAAAAAAAAAACTAAAGAAAAAGTAATGTGGTGTACTTTGCATATTTAAACTTTTTTCCAACAAAATTATTTTCAGTAATTATAATGACATGCACAATTATGGCCAGAAAAGGCATGTAGGCTGTGAAAACTGTAATGTTCCACCACATTTCGTAATTGAAAAAAGCGCTCTTATAATGGAAGGTCAGTGTAGGGCCCTTTACACCAGTGATCAGTATAGAACCTCCTTACATTGGTGATTAGTGGGAGAGGCACCCTCTTAAACTGGTGGTCTATGCAGAAAGACCCCTTATATTGGTTATCATTGGGACAAGGGCCTCCTTCTAGTGATCAGTGAGAGAAAGGCCCCAGTAAACTGGTGGTAGTGGAAATAATCCTCCTCTAACTGAAAGGTAAGAGATCATTGGTGTCAGTGGTTGAAAGTCAGAAATTGCTCATTGTATAAGGATACCCTAGGAAGTTCTGGACCCTAGGTCTTCATGGAACCCTTGCTGAGAGAGGCTGAGAGACTTGTCTTTGCAAACATTTTGATGCTGCAGTTTTGTTGGCTTTAAAACAAAAAACCTCTGCCATTTGTGATGTATTTTAAGGATACACTCCACTCAGAATTGCAAAGTCTTAAGATACAAGCAGGACAACTAATCTGTTTAGACCTTTGGTTTTTCATCCAGGGATTGCTGTATTTCCTTGTTGCATTGTACTGTCTTTGTCAGTGTTGTGATTATCTTGAAATGTGCCTTTGCTGCTTGTTACAGAACTAAGGCATTTTTCACAGCCACAAATAATATCTAAACTTGCCTTGGAAGTGGAAAGTGACTGATTATGCAAGAAGCAGACAGAGCTACATATGTTTCAGGGAGTTCATACCTACTGCCCTCATGCTGAACCTTTTAGGTGGCCTGTGAAAATCTGTGGCAGTGAATTACAAATAAAGAAAATCTGTATTTCTGACCAGAACTTCAGGTCTGATTACTTGGTCATAGCCTGCTCCTCAGAAATAGTCAATACCAGCAAATCAACAGGACAGCCAGGCAATAGTATTTTAGGAGAAAAGCCATCAATATCAGCCCCCATATTCTCCCAGTTCAAATTTCCTTTGAGGCAAGCTTTCTGGTTTTGGCAGTCATTTACTGAATAGCACAAGTAGCTCACTGATAACTTATACCTGTTGCCTGGAATTACTTCATAACCTCTTGCCATCCGCCTGCTGTTTATAAACGGCAGGACGGTGGCACTCCAGGGGCGGGTTGCCATTCATAAACGGCACCCGCATTTTCTAGCTGTGCGCGCTCCCACAGTGGAACACCGATCGTCGGACGTGACCCTCTGTGCGAGGTCCTGATCATGTGATCACTTGTTGGCCAATCAGTGATCACATGCAGAGTAGTAAGCAAGATGTCACTTGTGACATCATTGCTTACTACCTGTGAAATCTGTGACTGATCACAGAGGTCACATGGTACAAGGCTATTCACAACAGCCTTGTACCATGTGACAAGCTGTGACCAATCACAGCTCACACAGTAGTTCTCAATGGCTGCAAGAATGCAGCTAGAGAGAAGGACAAATGATTGCTTTTATAGCCTTTATGGGTGTAAAAGCAATCAGTGTAAAAAAAAAAAAAAATCTTCATCACCCCCCACAAGTAGTACAGTGTCACCATGGTGACATCGTACTGCTAGGGTGACCGTATGTAAAAAAAAAAAAAAAAAATGTAAAAAAAGTTTAAAAATGATCATTTTTGGTTATAAACTAATTTGGGTTATTTGTTTTTTTTACTAAAAAGACAACAGAATAAATTTTGGGCAAGATTTGTGATGAAATACTATTTATTTGCAAACACTTTTTTTCTAAATTTTTGGACTTTCTCATTTACATTGCAAAAAAAAATAAAAATCCCAGTGTGAATAAATGTCATCAAAATAAAGCTTTATCTGTCTCAAAAAATGCTAAAAAAATTCATATGGGTACAGTGTTGCATGACTGCGCAATTGTCATTCAAAGTGTGATAGTGCTGAAAGCTGAAAATTGGCCTGGACAGGAAGGGGGTGAAAGTGTCCAGACTTGAAGTGGTTAAAGTGTATATTAACTACAAGGCTCCATGTACACAGGAACGTTTTCTACTGGCAACAGAACTCTAAACACAGCAAAAACGTGTGTAAACGCGATAATGCTTTTTGCCGCGTTTAGCACTTGGTCTTTTTTTTTTTTTATTTCATTCGTCAGAGTACTTGCCATTGAAATTAATAAACACCCAAATGCTAAACGTTGTTAGCGTTTAGGCGTGTTTACATTCGTTTTTTGCTGCATTTTTTTGCTTTTTTTGGCCAAAACGTTCTTCTCCTGAATGCAATTCTTCTGCATTCAGTAGAGGGATGTTTAACTGGCCCTAAACTTTGGTGCTGTTAAATTCTGACAAAAGTCTATGTGTACATGGACACAGGCTTTTATTGAATTGAGTTCAGGGGGCATACAAACGCTCTTGAACTCACATTTATGAGCAGCAGTGTGCATGAGGCCCAAAAGTTTACTGTATTGCATCTCACTAGTCCTCAGGTGTAGTAGCTGTATTAGTTTTCTCTCTCCAAACTTTTTTTCCTTTGTTTTCACCTGGCATTTTTCCAGTAACACACTTCCTGTACTAGTCCTGTCCTAGGAGACAATGTTCACTTCCTATACCTTATCTTTTTTTGTTTACAAACTGTTTATTAACCACTTGCCGTCCGCCCTATACGCCCTATAGCAGATTGACTGCTACAGGGCGGGCATTCTGTGCAAAATCACGTATATAAACTTG